TACAAAAAATTAACATAGCAAGATCATGAAAACTGCGACGTACAGAACTAAAGATTTACTTTTCGTATAGTTGTAGTACAATGTGACCATTCGATCTCCATCATTTCTGATAAATTTTCATCGAATCAAGTGCACATCTATCTTGGCAAGAATCCATGATGACTAATAGCAATTTCAAAAGCCTGCATTCGTTCTCCACGAGCAAAACCATTGCGATCATAACAACAAATTTCATTAATGTTGAGATCTATGCAAGTCTTGACAAGCTCTTCACCTACACGCTTAGCTGCTTCCTTGAGATTATTTATATCCATAATCAGATTATACGTTCAGAGTAATAAGAAGCACATGAACAAGAATAGTAATCTTGATCTGAAACAGAACACTTACAACAGTAGTGCAAGTTGGGTCCTCTCGAATTGATTTCTGCAGAGTGCTTCCATAAAACAAGCACTTCTTATTTTGATCATCTACCAGCATAGCATACAACTGTTTATCTGAACAAAACACCGAAAGCCTCGGTTTTGTAGGTGTCCCGTTAAACTGGTGAAGATCATTGGCTCTGATATGTTAATACAGATCGATATATACATCTCTAAATCATCGAAAAAATGACTGTAAATAACACTTTTTTCCAGCATCAGAAAAGAAATTTTCTTGCAATGACAAAAGGTGTTACCTTCTTCCTCAATCTTCGGTTCCGAATTTTTGCACTCTCAGTCCTGGTATTAGCTTTTGCTTCAATCATCAGTGGTTTCATAATTAAATCTAGACATAGCATACAGTTTTCATCAGCCAAAATTAAACATCAAGATTGTATTGACGTGCCTTGTCTGAAACTACAAAGTGTTAATTTCGCACACGATCCTTCATATGACCGCCGAATTTATTTCACGTCTTATAAGTGCAATATTTTTATAAAGTGCCTTATCTGAAACTACAAAGTGTTAATTTCGCACACGATCCTTCATATGACCGCCGAATTTATTTCATGTCTTATAAGTGCAATATTTTTATAAAGGAGAGGCAAAGAACTTGAGTCTTTTGTCAGGTTTGATACCACATTGAACCATCATGTACAAAATTTTGAGGTGTTCAAGCCGGGTTCTATTATAAAACTCCATGGTGTACATTGGCATTAAACCCATATTTGAATGAAAATATTAGTTTTGAAGATAAAAGAGGAAAGAAATGACCAGTGCACTCACTTGTAGCGTTCAATGGCTGAACATTAATGGAGTTACAAAGACCAGTCCCAAAGATTTCAGAATTCCTGAATTTGAATCCAGCAGTAAAACTATGCAAAGCCATGAACGCATAAACAATGCTTGAAACCAGAAAACTGCTGCAGAATCTGAAATCCAGGCAAAATTCAGTTAATGGTTCTTTGTGTCATTTTATCAAACACATAGTTTACGATACCTAATGGATTGATACAGAGAAAGATTAATTTTTCTATGGGATCTTCAATGAATCTTTTGGGATAACTGTAAGAGCATCAAGTCAGCAACGTGTTGAAATTTCGATGTAAATTTAATTGCTGAAGGGAGGAAATATGGGAGAAGAAAGAATTGCCTTCCTCAAGAAATTTGAGAGGATTCATTATATAATTGTTTTGGCAAATTCCTCCCAGGGTCCCCAACCTTCAATTTTTGACGATCATTTCCCCAACTTTTTAAGTCGTGCAGCAATTTCTCCACGTGACTGAAAACGTCTATTTATGATCACGTGACATGGGCGGAACCACCTTAGGCCGAGTGCAGGTTCAAGCCTTGACAGGGGCGGAACCAAGAATTTTTGGCGTACGGGCTAAAACTTAAAAGTCTATATAATAAATTCATATATAACATTAAAGTAAAATTCTTGAAATTTGAAGTTGTTCCTGACGAGATTTTGAAACATAATATTCATCGAAAAGATAACAAGTCAACAACAACTAATTAAGCAGACGGCTCAACAAGTCAACAACAATTAGTTAACTAGTTTGCCTACAATGCAATAACATTCAAGTTCAATATTTTGCCATTTGACTTCAATATTTGACCGATGAAACAAGAAGCAGGACATTTACTAACTAGTAGATAAAGCTTTTCCTACACGTCTCTGTCTCAGCACCTGCACATTAAAAAACTGCTCAAATACAAAGAAAATTTCTTCTGGACATTCAGCAAGCAGAAACATCAAAACCTGATTTTTCAAAATCTAAGAAAAAGAAACTCTGATAATGGGATAACATGTACCAATTTCAAAAGCCGATGCAAAATGTGAGTACCCTACACTTCTAATAGATGCAATATTTGATTTGGGTTCCTTAATTTTCCCGAAGTGGGGGATTGAAAGAGCCTAGTTCGAGAAGTTATCGTGGTGGTGATTCATTGATGGATAAGCGCTGCTGCGTGGGTGAAATTGAAGCGCCGGAGAGTCATAGACACTACGACAGCTTGAGCGCTGAGGGGAGAGAAATAAAAGTAATGGCAATTGAATTCCGATTTACATGGAGGGAGATTTGATGAAATGGGTTTGGGTTTGAGTTTGGCCAATTTGGGTCATAACTTTGATTTAAGTTTAGGGAAAAATTCATAAACCATGTATTAACTAAGTAGTTGGACTATGTTGTTTGGGTTGGACAATGAACATGGGCTGCTGGTTAAAAGACACATACTCAACTTTAAAAAAAGGAAAAATTCATGTGCAAGATATTAGGTATGGTCCAATTCAAAAGTAAGAAACAAAGTTTGAAACTTCAAAAATGAGATATTAGTTAAATTTTATTTATAAATAATTAATTAAATATATTAAGGTCATAATTCTATTATATTTTGTCACAAATTATCAAATTAAATGATTAATTGATCACAAATTAATTCTCAATCACAAATTAAAAATTTTATAGGTCACAAATCAAAGACTTTATAAGTCACAAATTATTTTATGATCACAAATCAAAAACTTTATAGATCACAATATATTCATCGATCACAAATCAAAAATTTTATGTGTCACAATTTATTTATCAATCACAAATGACAAATTTTATAAATCACGAGTCAAATTTTTAAGTAACACATTATTTATTATCATAAGTTATCATTCACATATTATTTATTGGTCACATTCAATTTATTGGTCAAAATATCAAATAATTGATTATATATTTTTTTTGTCACAAGTCAATCAATTTATTGGTCACAATCAACAAAATAATTTGTGACCACCATCATCATTTTTGTGACCATCACATTACCACTATACTACATAGAGTGTTGCTGTCAAACACTACCGCCGAAGCCACCTCCATTAACTCATAACAACCAGTCAACACCACTCCACACCCACCAAAGCCACCATCACGTCGTCGTCACCATCGCACACAACCATTGATCAACAGCATTGCACCTAAAAATCCATCGCACATAGTACCATACCCAACCACTGGTCAATAGCACTGCACTTAACCACCCACCGCACATAGTACCGCACCCAACCATCCATCGCACACCACCACTGCACCCAACCCAACCACCACACACAGCACTGCATCACTGCACACAGCATCGCACCACTACACATCACAATCATCTGTGACTAGAGAAAAAATGGAGAAAAGGACCCCTGATCAGTAGCATGCATGGGGAACGGAACCTAGCGGCTCGTTGCGTGCAGTGGCACGCGCAATGGCATCACCCAATCCACAAATGATCTGTACCACCTACTGTGCTGCTGTTTGGATTTATCGACATCTTCAGCTACACCAATAGTCATGCACAACCCTCATCGTCGGCAAGAGGTTAAAGAGAGGTTGAGAAAAGAAAGAATAGAGAGGTATGAAGTTTAGAGAGAGAAGGGAGAGAAAATAATTAGCGTTTGAGATTAAAATTATATATGGTAGATTAATTAATTTTTGAATTGTTATATTTAGAAAAAAAATTATTTTATATAAATTTATTAATTAAAGAAACTCTGATTTTTGAGTTAATAAACATGACCCATGAATTATGAATTGAGATCTCCAAATTCCACTTAAAAAATTAGGAAAAAAAAGGGGCTTATTGTATCTGGGCCAGAGCAAGCACAGGCTATAGTCTGAGTCAACTCGTACCTAGATCTACCCCTGAGCACTAAAATTTAAAGAGATATAGAGAGAGGGGAAGGTGAAAGGGATGGACACTTTATATGTTGCAAGAAAAATGAGTAGGACTGCTGAGAAATGAGTGGAATTGCTTCACCAAATTAAGCAAATTATTCACCCCTGAACACATTCGCCATCTTCTGTTTTTGGAGATTGTTTGTGTGAATTTTCATTTGATAAACTATTTGGGTCAAATGCCGTGATTTTTGTGAACAAAACTTCTCTATTAATTCTTGAGATAGTTCGAGGTCAAGTTTCAAGATATTGGTTTATGTGATTTTCTGCTATTCATCCCCTTCTTTTAGAGCACATACCTTTTTTGTGTAGGTGGGTATTGTTGGATGAATTTTGTGAATAGTGACGTCGAAATAAGTATAATGATGGTGACAAAGTCGAGGCAAGAGTTGGACTCTTTGTCCTTAAGTCGAATTTGCCCCGCAACGGTGCCTACGGATTTCAGCAATCGACTCCCAAGATACAACGGCTACACTTGTGTTTGTAGCACTCCAAAACACAAGTACAACGAACCAAATTTAGGCTTATGTACTCCAAGGATGAAATGAAGGAAAATCAAAATAAATGAAATGATTTTGATTTTGGACAGAATAGAGGATGAGAGACGTTTTGCATATCAAATTGTGTGGAATAGGACACCCAAAGGTCCTATTTATAGACCATGAAAGGGTGTGGATGAAATGGTTGAGGCCAAACCATGCACCCTTTCCAAACAATGCACCTTTATGAAAAGGTGTCTATTCACTGATTTTCGTCCTTTTTCGTAATTTCTCATTCATTCGATATTGGTTTTCGAAATGCCAAATATACCCTTCAATACATGCAGAGAAATCAAAATTCTCTTTTGGGGGCGTTGCCCCCGACCCCCCACGAGGGGTGCTGCCCGTTTGTGCGGCCCGAAACGGCGAAGTGGCAAACAATTTTGCTTAAACGGATTGAGTCGAGCTTTTGAGTTTTTGGCCGAAGTCGATACGAACTTTAATCGATTTTTCAATTCTCGATGTATTTAACCAATATCCAACAATCCCCCACATGAATGGAAATTTCTCGATATGTGCAACACAATGCGAATGCAATGCAAATGAAAATGCAGACTCTAACAAATGGAGTACACACGACAATGGTTTTTCACATCATTAAAAGAAGAGTCTTTGAGAAATCACGATTCTTGGTGGGTTTTTAAGGCTGTAATTCTCTATGGAGAGAGAGATTTTTTGGCAAAATTGAGAATGAGACAATCTTGCAACGCTTTCAAAATTTGAGATCCTAAAGAATGCAGTCGTCTAATCTTAAAGTTATGGAGTGAGGTTATATTATGTACTCTCTTTTTTTTTCTTTTTTTTTTTAATTATTTTGGATTGTATTGAATTATATTTTCATATGCATATAATTTTTACGTTTTAGTGTATTGACATATAGAATGAGGAATATTTAATATTATTTAACTAAATTTTTATAAAGGATCTCGCTGTAACAATCTTTGACTGTTGACGGTCAACGATTAACGGATGCCCTAGCTAACCTCCACTCCTAGATCTGCCACTGTTTATGACTACATTTTATACAATTCTTTGAAGTTTTTGATCGTGCAATCTGAATTTATGCGAAATTTTTATAAGCTTTTCCTTTTTCTCCACAAGAATACCAACCCTAACTTCTTTATTTATCCCTCCTCTATCCGACGTTTTGGGCATGTTTGCGTATTTTTTGGGATATCTTTGAATATTTTTGGGTATGGTGTCCTCCATCATGAGTTTTTGTTCGTATTACACACGTTCTTCCCAAGTCAAAACAAATGTTCCAACTAAAACGACTTGTTTTAATCCTTTCGTTTTTTCCTGGCATCAACTCTGAGAGAAGTTTCAGTGGTGATAATGCTTGGAGATTATATTTTGACTTTTTGTTGAAAAAATTCAAGAATGGCGTGCAGTAATCTATATAAGTAGATAATAAAAAATATTGGGCAAAATTTCAACTTACAAAATTAGCGAAAAAAATAGAATAACAATGGTCAAAGCAAGAGTTCGACTTTTTCTCCTTAAAACGATAATGCCCTGCACTGGTGCTGACAGCCTCTTGCCACTTGTCTCCCAAGATACAATAACCTCAACTTGTAATAGTAGCACTCCAAATTACAAGATCTGGCGAACCTACAAATATTTTCATCTCTTGAAAATCGGAGGACTAAAATGCACAAAATTAATATTTGGGACTGAAATGCAAAATAAGGAACACTCTAGGACAGAAGGACAATATTTCACAGGAGAAGGAAGCAAAAGAAATTTTGGAATGAACAAAACTGGAAATTTGAGGGTCTATTTATAGAATTTGAAAGGTTGTGCCAAAAAGACACAATAGCCGAAAAGTTGTGTCTGGAACAGACACAACCCGTTTGGACAGACAGTTAAAAATGTCACCAACCATCAGTTTCTAGAAGAAGCCACGTGCCGCACACAAATAATTCGGAAAAGAAAAAATAAACAATATAATAAAAATATATTATTCATTAAAAAAATAATATAATTAAATATTATTTCACCAAAAATATATACACCAACTAGGCCAAGTCCACGACCCATGCCAAGCCGAGCCGGCAAGGGTCGTTAGCTCAACTTACTGGCATGTAGGTCATATCTCCTCCAAAAACTAGTGATGTCCCTTGAGGCCTAAATCCAAGTCCCAAACTTGAGCAATATAAAGTGGTTACTATTATTCTAGTTTTCTTATATGGAATTGGCACTTTTTCAATTTCCCACCAATTTTTGTTCTCAATTAATTTCAACTTCAAGTGATCATTTTTCAACTTTAATTTCTTATTTAGCCTTAAATAGTTTTGAGAAATAAATACATATGTCAATTCTACTCATGGAGTA